CTAGATTTGATGAAAACTCAATTTTAGAAAAACGGGGTAAAAACAATAACTTCCCGAATTTTGAAAATTTTCAATTATCTTAGCGGGAAGTTATAAATATCGGTTTGTATTGAAAAAGTAGCGTAATTAAATAAACCCTATGGAGCAGCACGGTAAATTCTCTGCTTCACAAAATGCGACGTTCTTTAGTATAATTTATTGAGCCTACAAATAAAACCTTGCCAGATATTTGTTAATAGCGGAAAACATGCGACCTTTCAAAACCATTATTGTTAGTTTAAATGGTAAATACAAACTCAAGTTAACATAATTGATCAAAATCAACCAGCGAGTCTTCCGGCGAATCCCATTAGGTTTTTTTTTATGAATAGGAAACCGGAGGTAAACTTGGCCCTTACTCAAGAAAAACTTCTTCTTCATTATAACTATATAATATACTTACTACGAACATATAATTATATGTATTCTACAAACATAAGTTTTTTATAATTAATGTGACAAACGAGCACACAGTCAACATTATGGTCAGTGGATTTTCAGACACCTTTACTCCATATAAAATCAAAATGCAGTTGTAGCCACTGAGGACAAAGGTGAAATCATAGAATACTATAATACATACATAATAGAACGGGGGAGTGGGCGGAGCCCGTGTTACCACTAAAATGTCACTAACGTGTCAATTCACGCGTATAACACGAGATGTGTTTTGACGTTACAATCGTTTCCAAATTTCATTTTTTTATAGGATAGGGTGATAAACGAGCACACAGTCCACCTGATGGTAAGTGGTTGCTGCGGCCCATAGACATCTACATCTATCCTCGATTACAAATCAAAACGCAGATGCGTTGTCACCCGTGAGGCCTAAGATGGAATGCCTCGTTTCCAGTAAAAAGGGTCTCCGGTTCTCTACACTCACCATACGAAATACAGCAGCATTAAGCTACTATTTCACGCTGGTATTCTGTGAGAGCGTGGTCCTTCCCCGGTCGAGCCGACCCATTCGTGCTACAACTATACTACTAACATAACTGCAGCATGGCTCTACCACGTAAAAGCATATCTCATATGGAAATTATTTAGAAAATGCCAAATTACACACTATTTACAAATAATATTTTAATGATGATCTTGGACATTAATCAAAATCTAAAATGTTTAAATTTACTCAGTCTGTCAACAAAACGAATCGGTTTTGTAGTTGCTTATATGTGTGGTCCCGGCGACGCCGACCCTCGTACAAAATAAGGTTGATAGCCATTCTATTGTGTATTATAGTAATCTATGGGTGAAATGCTTTGTTTCCAGTAAAAGGGTCTCCAGTTTTCTGCACTCTTCATTTGAAAAATATAAGCATTAAACTGCTATATTACGCTGGTGAGAGCGCCGTCCTCCCGGTCGAGCTAACACCTATTCATGTTACAACCAAAAAAAGCTGCATCGTCGCGAATCTTAGTTATTAGTTATTACAACAACGCACAACACTTTTAAAACATGAATGTGAGATCTGATGAGTGTTCTTATCATAGAATACTATAATACATACATAATAGTGTTTGTGTTTGTAGTAGTGAAAACTGATAATACGACGTAATTGCTTATATGTGTGCTCCCGGCGACGCCAATCCTCCTACAAAGTAAGGTTGACAACCATTCTATTGTGTATTATGGTAATCTATGGTTCTTATCTATATAAATAAAAATGTTAATTTTTGTATGTTCAAAATGTTCATTCTCCGAAAGTTTACACCGATTGTTTAGAGACTTTGTCACAACGATACATTCGAATACGAACTTTTTTATATGATTTTTGAAAAAAATTTTTAAGCCACAGCATCTTTTAACCGGTTACCTACAAGTTAGTTTATATTAGTTAAAAATAATAATAATGTCCTCCAGACCGAATTTCGGTCACGGCGGCCTGCCTCAACGGAGGCTAGCCATCGGCGCAGGACAGGATTATAGCGCCCGAGTGTATGCGCAAGCACAGGTGCACTCTCTATTCCCTCACTCTCATAATCCGATGGGACGGTAAACCGACACGACCGGAGAGAGATCAGGCGCAGGACCAACGGCTTTACATGCTTTCCGAGGCACGGGGGTTAGACACCGCCAACTTCCTGACACCGGGCAGCTACTGAGAATTTTTTGACAGAAAAATTCAATAATTATTGATTTTTGGCCCGACCCGGGATTCGAACTCAGGACCTCATGATCAGCAGTCGCACTACTACAATCAGTAGACCAACGAGCCAATTAGTTAAAAATAAGAAAAAATAAAAATATAAATTTCTTTGCAACCTTCCGCTAAATAAATACAATGATGTGTCTTACCTGGATTGAAGAGCACCTCCCGCTCTCCCTCAACTGCATGCACTAACTCCGTCACCACTAGTCCCAGCACCAGGTTCCAGGTAAGACACACCATCGACGATAATACGACACGTGTTTCGCCTCTACACGAGGCATCTACAGGTAATGTAGACTCTACGGCGGCTGACCGCTAAGTGAGCGGCGAGCCGAAACAGCTGCTATTTACACGCCGACACAATCGCTCCCCACCAAAGTAGCGAGTGACCGCGCCGTGCGATAAGAAACCTGCTACTAATTATCATTATTATTATTATTTTTTCCTCATCTGGTTGGGTTATATAAATATATAATTATAAATTAAAATGAAACGATAAATATACATAAATACCAATAAAATAAAATTAATACAAAAACTACATAAATAAATAAGATCCAACCAGATGGGAGCCCTCGGCAGGGGAGACCAAACGGCCGAGGGTTAGGGGGAAAGGGAAAGAAACCGGCGGACGATGCGGGCGGTATCGAGGAGCACCGCCTTCTGCATTTGAGCCCGGAGCGGTCCGTCACGGAGTCCCAGTTGCCTCAGATGACCCGAGAGGCTGACTGGGATTAGCCCATTCGCAGAGACGACTACAGGAATAATTTCGGTCGGCATACCACCCCACATATCGGCCAGCCAGTTCCAGATATTTTGTTCGTTTATCTGTTTCGGCTTTCACGAGGTTCTCGTCATACGGAATGGTAATGTCGACCAAAAATATCCTTGACTGTGCCCGGTCCATCAGCACAATATCAGGCTTATTCGCAAGAATAGTCCTGTCTGTGATGATGGCCCGGTCCCAGTAGAGCCTAGCGCGGTCATTTTCGAGCACGGCTTCCGGTAAGTACTTGTAATACGGCAATTTCCGATCCACGAGACCGTATTTCAGAGCGAGCTCCTGGTGTAGAATTCTGGCTACTAGATTGTGCCTGTGCAAGTACTCAGAGTTAGCGCCGAACAACCGAAGATGACATACCTAAGTCAATCACCGGGATAGCGACAAGCTCGACAGACGTCGATGGTGCCATCCTTTAGGATGTATCTCCGATAGTTGTTGGTCTTAATAACCTGATCCTGTATTGCACAGACAAAACCCTCGGTTTCCCTAAAAAGTTCACCGAAACGTAGCCAGTTGAGGGAGGTGACTGTATCTACGAAGGGCTCATGTAGAACCCTGTAGTACCTCCCGTGGAGCTCCTTCTCCTTCCATACGGTCTCCCGGTCGGAAAATCTTTGTACTGCCGGGTCTTGCCATTGCTCGTTGGCTAAGGATAGAAGGGTAAGTCCTTTATCACTAGAAATGACGTCATTATAGAATTGATTACCCGATCTCACCAGGAAGTAATTACGGAGGCTGCACACTTCGCGATTATGCATGGTGAGCGCGCTCAGGAAGCCACGCCCACCATGCTTTCGCGGCAAGTACAGCCTCATTACCGACGATCTCGGATGATGCATCCTATAGGACGTCATGGTAGTGAGGACTTTTCTATCCAGGGCGTTAAGTTCGGTCTGAGTCCACCTGAGTATGCCAAAGGTATACATGAGGACAGGCATGACCCAGCCGTTATATGCGTGTGCCTTATTTACACTGAACAAAAGGCTGTTAAGCACTTTGGTCAAGCGTGCATAAAACGTGTCGCAAACTGACTGTTTCATACCAGCCTCATTGGTACCGATGTTCTGTGACATACCCAGGTATCGGTATGTTTCAGCCTCGGAAAGGGTCCTTAAGTTGACGGGCATAGATAAGTCTATGCCCTCAGAGTTAGCAACCCTACAGTAAAGTACTGAGCGGGTTCAAAGAGAGGCAGAACCAGATTGGACTCAGACAGTCGCCCTGGAATATACCCCTTCTTATCCTTATGCGGCTTTCCGCAGCTGTCATCCGCTTGCCTAGATGACAGAGGATCGTACTCCACTACTCCATACACTGCTCGTGGAAGTCTCGAACTGTACAGTCAATCTTGTACAGCTCGAAGACCCTCTTTAGCCATGTATGGGGCACCGAGTCAAATGCCTTTCTGTAGTCTATCCAGGCGGCGGAGAAGTTCCGACGGTTGCGTTTCACCACTTTGCCAATGACCGCGTCAATGACGAGTGGTTCCTTGGTTCCACAACCGCCGCCCCGACATCCATTTTGAGCGCGCGACATCACCTGATTTGATTCCAGGTGACGAGTGATTCTCGCGCTCAAAATGGATGTTAGTGTCTTGTATATGGTCGGCAGACACGTGATGGGGCGGTATTTGCTCGGGTCTGTGGTAACCTGGTCTTTAGGAACCAAATGCGTGATCCCAGTAGTGAAGAGGCTCGGGAGCGACTTCTGGTTGAGAGCCTCTTGGAACTGTCGGGCGAGCACAGTGTGACACACCACAAACCTCTTCAGCCAGTAGTGATGCAGCCCGTCGAGTCTCGGACATTTACAGTTCGGGGCCTTACGGACCGCCTCAGCCACGTCATCCGGCGTTATAATGACGGGGTCCATGGGCGTTATACTCGCACACTGACTCGCCACAACTTCCGTCCAAGAGCCCTCGCTGTGGTTTATGGGCTCTGACCACAGGCCGCGCCAGAATGCTACAGTGTCGGCCTGATTCGGTGCTGGGCCCGTTCCACTTACCATTGGTCGCTCCAACGATTTCTAGAGCCTCTTGTGATCACTCTGAAAGAGACGATTCTGGTTAAACCGTGTCGACCTCTCGGTATATCGCCGAATCCACTTTCCCCAAGCAGCGATTCTCTGCTTCAGGTCGTCTATGCGCTCCGTCAGTTTTTGCATTATAGCCGGCTGGGACAAACTAACATTTGTCCCAGCAAATGCCATCCTGACGGTGCGCACAATCCTTGGCCTGTTGTTGCCTGACCTGAAGCATATCAGTCTGCCGATGAGGGCCCTAGCCTTTACGATACGTTCTTCAATTCTTATTCTCCAGGCTGGGATAGCGCTACTTTGTTCAGTAGCGCGTCCAGCCGTGGAAAGTTTGGCGCCTATAATACGGCACACTGCCAGTGCGGCGCCAAAAAGAATTGAGTCCGTCTCGCAAAGGTCCCGGCTGGTTTCCAAATAGGTCACCAGCATTGGGTTCAGAGCCCTCACGACAGCCCGATTCCGCTTGCTTGGGGCTATGCGGGGAAGTCGCGGTCGATTTTCGAGAGGCGTATTGCGCGTTTCCACAATCGCCTCTTCCAATGTACTCCTCATATGCTCTAATTCCAGTTCCTGTAGAGGCGAAACACGTGTCGTATTATCATCGATGGTGTGTCTTGCCTGGAATAGTGGTGTTGGGAGTAGTGGTGCTGAGATTAGTGGTGACGGAGTTAGTGCATGCAATTGAGGGAGGGCGGGAGGTGCTCTTCAATCCAGGTAAGACACATCGTTGTATTTGTTTGGCGGAAGGTTGCGAAGAAATTTATATTTTTATTGAATAAAACTATTATTTACGGATTTTATCGCGTTTAATTACTTTAATTTATTTTTATTATTATCCCGACGTTTCGGGTGCTTTACAGCGCCCATGGTCACGGGGGACTGAGATGTTTGACGTCCCAATGTCATAGTTAGTCCGGCTACCTTCAGTTTTTTAATATTAATTTTTGGTCCGATTTACGCAAAACGAGCTTATAGTATCATGAAGTCTTGCAGTGGTATGCTTGGGTTTGGGTTTAATTTTGTTAATTATAGGATCCCAAGCAGATGGTAGCACCCAACCATCTTCTCTATTGAAATTTGGATGTTTTTTAATTTCAATAGCCTCGCGTATCATCCTTGGTAGGAATCGGTGTTCTTTTGCGAGAATTTGTGGTTTATCAAATCTAATGTAATGGTGGGGACGATCTTGAACATGTTCGCAGACTGCAGACTTCCCGGAGCGTCGGTGCTTCACATCAGCTATATGTTCCTTCACGCGGGTTTTTATAGATCTCTTTGTTTGCCCTATGTAAGAGAGACCACATTCACAATCTAGCTTGTACACACCTGCATCTTGTAGAGGAATATTACATTTGATGGATGGTAAAAATTGACTAATCTTCTTCAGCGGCTTGTAGTATGTCTTAATGGACGCTCGCTTCAAGATGTAGCCAATCTTGTCTGTGACTCCTCTAACATATGGTAGTAGAGCAGGCGCGCGCTCGACTGTGGCCGGCTTCACTCGTTCACTGTTATGTAGGCGCGGGACCCGAAGCTTGTTGTCTTGCAATACTTGCTTGACGTGCTGAAGCTCCGCGGCCAGATGTTTTCTGTCACAGATCCCTCGTGCTCTCTGAAACAAAGCTTTACCCACGGTAGCTAACTGTGAAGGATGATGGTGAGATTCACTATTTAAATATCGGTTGGTATGGGTCTTTTTCCTATACACAGTGTGACCAATAGTGTTATCAGGATTTCGGATGACTAAAACATCTAGGAAAGCTAAAGAATTATTTGCCTCTAACTCCATTGTGAATTGTATTTTCGAGTTTATGGAGTTAAGGTGGTCTAAAAATGCAGTTACTTTGTCAGATGGTAAAATTGTGAAAGTGTCGTCTACGTACCGCTTGTAGAACCTTGGATTTACAGGAGCAGTAAGAAGGGCTTTCTCCTCAAAGTCCTCCATGAATATGTCGGCGACTATGGGAGACACAGGTGAGCCCATCGCCACACCATCTACTTGCTTGTAGAACTCCTCCTTCCACAATAGATAGCCAGATGTGAGGCAATGTTCAAGTAGTATTGCATATTCTTGAGGCATGTTATTTTCTTCTAGCTTCCTAGTTACAATTGAGATGCAGTCCACAATAGGTAGGCATGTAAATAGTGACTGAACATCAAAACTGACCATAGTTTCATTGTTAGCGAGATGTAGGTCTTTTATCTCACTCACAAAATGGTATGAATCCTTTGTGTGTGCTCTGGTATGTCCTCTTAGTGGTGATAGTATTTTTGCTAAGTATTGTGCCAGCTTATAGGTCGGTGAATCGATCTGGCTCACTATGGGACGTAGTGGAGCGTTTGGTTTGTGTATCTTCGGTAACCCATACAACCTCGGTGGTTTGGCACATGATGGTATTACCGAATTCACGTCGAGATTTAATTTTTCGGAGTATTTCTTTATTAAATCGCTAGTTGTTTTAAGCGTGTTAGTTGTAGGGTCTGTTTTGACCTTTTTATATGTACTTTCGTCCGATAAAAGTTGTTGTATTTTAAAATTATATTCCGACGCGTCCATTACTACCGTAGCATTTCCTTTATCCGCGCGGAGAATCGTGAGTTCTGGTCTGTTCCGTAAGTTATTTAGCGCTGTAAATTCGTCTTTGGGAAGGTTTGGTTTCGGCACTGAACTACGACGTAACAAGGACGAAATATCTTGACGTATGGCCTCCAAATCTTCTTTACCGATATTATTCTTAAACAGACAATCCTCAACACTGCAGATAATTTCTTCGTACCGGATTTTTCGCGGAGTTAATGCGAAGTTCATTCCCTTCGCTAATACTTTCATTGTCGGTTCGTCCAGTGTATGTTTTGACAAATTATAGACAGTGCGTTGTTTATAGTTTGTGTCTATGGTCAACGGTTGTTTATTATTCTGGCGTTGACTTGGATGTTTGGCATTTGATTTGATCGTTAATTAGCTGATGTGAAGCACCGACGCTCCGGGAAGTCTGCAGTCTGCGAACATGTTCAAGATCGTCCCCACCATTACATTAGATTTGATAAACCACAAATTCTCGCAAAAGAACACCGATTCCTAACAAGGATGATACGCGAGGCTATTGAAATTAAAAAACATCCAAATTTCAATAGAGAAGATGGTTGGGTGCTACCATCTGCTTGGGATCCTATAAATTAAACCCAAACCCAAGCATACCACTGCAAGACTTCATGATACTATAAGCTCGTTTTGCGTAAATCGGACCAATAATTAATATTAAAAAACTGAAGGTAGCCGGACTAACTATGACATTGGGACGTCAAACATCTCAGTCGAAACGTCGGGATAATAATAAAAATAAATTAAAGTAATTAAACGCGATAAAATCCATAAATAATAGTTTTATTCAATGTGTAATGTTCGCGTAAATTTAAGAAACCATTATATTTTTATTTTTTATGTCAATGTTCATTAATTCCTTAAACTAAATTTTATATTAATATAATAAATTCAACGAATTTATAATTAATTATGTACATAGGTACTATGTTATCTCAAAAAGAAAATTCGTATTCGTAGAAGATGATGAATTGTGGTTTTTGTTGTTGAAATCCCATATAGTTTTTTCTGATTCCAGCGGTTCTAAAAACTTTTTTGTATTTTCATTATTCCACTCGAAAGGCATTTTGGTAGATCGTACTTTTTAATAACAAGACGGTACGCACGTCCGTTCATCCAGGCGCTTGGCGCCATAGATAAGAGTGCTTGCCGCTCGCGCTGCCTGTCCTTTGACTTCCGCACGAAAAACTGACATTTGAGGGATCGTCGGGCAGTGGCAGCGGCAGCGGCAGTGTCAGCGCGAGTAGCCTGTTTACATACTGCCCTGCCCACTGCCCTGCTCACTTCCCTGCCCAACAGGGCTGAATGTAAATGGGGCATAACGCCCGGGCTCGCCACGCTAAAAAAATTAATAAATAAACATTATTAAGTGATTTGGATACCGCGAAAGTACAAAATTACCTTTTTATATTGTAAGAAATAAAGTCGATTGATAATTCTCTGGTGTTATTTATTGCTCATGTTCGTTGACCATCCGATGCGTTCTCTGTTGTGGTTTATGTTAAAGATATACTGGAAAATTATTTCACCGTTCCCCCGATAACAAACAATTTACTAATATTTCGACCTATTTAACACGTATTTCATTTTTTGAAGTAAAAATGTAAGGTTTGCAAGTGAGGCATTTATACATATTATGTTTTTTTTCCTGTCAATGTTCGAAAAGTCTGCTTGCTACATATAACGTGTATCTTTATACAATATAACTTTCTTTTTTTTTCAGTTTATTGTCATTGTAGGGCTACTTCTGATAATAATTGTTTTTATTTTCATTTCTTTGAATGTTTGATTTCAAAAAAGTTGCTTGTACATAATGGCGGGAGCTGGAATAAAAATGGCGGCGGACTGACAAACGTCATGTTGCGAGGATTTTAATTATTAATTAATTCTGAAGTGAAGGACACTTTTATTGAGTGTAATTCAGAATTAACGAGTAGGTAAACCGGATGACCGTGCGTCTTGTTGCGGCTTGGTAGTGAAGTCAGTGGTTTCCAAATTAAATGAAGTTTACATAATATTTACACTCTCGCCTATCACCCTAAGGGGTAGACAGATACTATGGACTTTCATTTGGGACGATTCTCAAACACCTCTCTCGCATCTTTTACATCCATATGTCTACACGTACATGCTTTTCGGCTAAGGGTACTCCTAATTTTTAATATTTCACCATTTTGGTCGAACAATTGGCATTCCTTGCTGACTCTGTCTTCCACTTCTACAATTTGAATTTATTTTGTCACTTTAGCTTTATTATTTCTTTCTACGTGAGCAAATCGCCAAAGCATCATTTTCTTAATACTGCTCTCATCGTCATCTTGCATAACACACTTTTTTTCTTATCACACAATTTCTCATCTCATCACTCCTAAGATATTCCTTAAGGACCGCATTTCCAGCACATTTATTCTACTCGCTTATTCTTATTCGGGGTAGGATCACGCTCTCACATAGTACCAGCGTAAAATAGCAGCTTAATACAGCTGTGGAAACGAGACATTACGTCATAGTCCTCAGGGGTGACAACGTTTATGCACCACAGCATCCACTTACCATCAGGTGGACTGTGTGCTCGTTTTTCACCCTTATTCCATAAAAAAAATTCTGCCACACCCAAATTTCGCTACCATACATTAAGGTAAGGACTGACACAGCATTGTGAACTGCCATACATGTCTTTTTGTCACATTTTGACTTCCTACAACAGAGTGAAAAGCCCCGTTTACTTTGGGTATCAAAGAATCATGTCAATTATTGATCTGAAAATTTTCTAACGCGTCTAATGATGTAAAATATCTCATAAAATTGCATTTTTTATTTCTCTTATTTCGTATGGCATAATTGAATTTTCAAATAAAGCCAGGAAAAAATGTAATGATACTTTGTTTATCATTCTCAATAGACTTTTGGAGATGAAACGTGTTTTACAATGGCTCAAAGGCCCAGAAGC